ACAAGATGCGTGGTCAGCTGCTGCTGCCCTGCGCTGTTGCTGCGGAGAGGTGTTGGGTTGGCCAACTCTTTTGAATCCCACGCGCCACGCGCTGCCGCGATGCTGCCCTCCTATTCTCTCCTCTCGGCACCGGAGACATGGCTCGGCGGAACATGCACTGCCAGTGAATGTCGCAAAGTTTGTAGGTGTGCGAAATGGTTGAATTCCCGGAAATTCACTTGAGGGGTGGGGTGTGCGAAATTTCACGGAAACTTCACACATTTACTTAACTCAATTAGGCGAATGAGAATTCGCACCGCACGTACAAGTGCGTGACATTCACACTAGGGTTTCCAGTGCAACACACCAACCACCATGCGTTTTATCGCTGCGTGTGTCGCATTGGGAGAGAGCTCCTCTCCTCTTGTGTCTCACCACAGAGCCCACCCACCCGCCGAGCCCAATTCGGGACACACTCTACACTCTGCGGGGAGTGGGCCGGTGGGCCTCCCCTCGCGTTACTCACGCATTCTCTCAGACGTCGAGAGAGTCGAGGCGCGACATAAAGTCCCACACGCCATTTATGCTCTTATCGCACACACCAGGTTTAAAAAAACAAAACACACCAAACAGGAAACAAAGAACACAGAAAAAGTTTTACAGAACATTTTCATCGACTAAGTCTTTCTTTTTATTGGGCGTATATACGGGCTGTTCAGCGAGGGGACCGCCCGGTGTGCGGCCCCTTGCCCCCTTGCCGGTCGCAACGGTTCTCTCGCGCAACCTTGTCAATACGAGCGACCGCGAGCGACACGGCAGTACAGGAGGGGCAGAGGCGAAAGCGTCTGCTTTAACGACTCGCATCGACCGGCGTCTGATGAACGAACTCGAACTTTATAGAACCAGCACGGCCACCGCCTTGCTAATCCAAGCCAGTCAGGCCACCCAAACGGAACACCCCCCTTTACGTCCTCACTGCCCCCCCCCCCCCTTACCCCTTACCTCACGCAAAGAGCAGCCATTGAGTCAACAACTGCGGCAGCAACAACAACACTTTTCCGGTACTCCTGATATATAACGAGTTGAATAAATAAAGCAGCATGCTCTGCAATGTCCATAACAGTGTAGCATGTCGACTTTTTAACAAACAAAAGTTTGTCAGTTTGAAGTGGAGGACAAAAATGTTTCAAAAAAGATTCAAGTAACTGCGTGAACGTTGCGTGCACTACTCTCCTGCATGTAGAACCATACTTGCGGCTGAAACAGCAGTGAGACGCTTTGTTCTAAAGGTAGTTGAGTGCACGTGCGTGTGTTAAGTGCGTGTGTTTTGGAGCCCGATAATCAGTAGGGCCTGTAATGGGCGCCGGAAGGGAAGAGGGGGGGGGGGGGCACGTCTAAAAGAGGTAAATATCAGGGGCCAATTATGTCACGATAGACACGCCGTGTGTTCCCTCCCCCTCCCCCGATCCCCGAGCCGAAACAAGCTCCAGCAGCGGGCGAGCGTGACCTAGCGCATAGTACAGCGCCTCTCCCGCTCACCCTCTCCCTCACTCTGTCTCTCTCCCACTCACAAAAGGACATCGCCACTGCGGGGCCTTGGGCGCTTGCTAACACACGGGTTGCCCCCAGCCGGCGCACTGCTCGCCTGCTGCTGCCGCTGCTGCTCCCCGATGGAAAACAACAGCAAAAGGGGCAAAAAAGAAAGTGAGACAAAAGCATTAAAAGCGGAATTGTTTTAGTTTTCTGCTCCGGGGCGGCCGCGCGGCGGGTCTCCACCGCACTCAAGGTAAGGCACAAGGCACGGGTGGCGGCGCCGGCCAAAGACCGAGGGGAGGGGAGGGGGGTCGTGGTGGGGCCACCTGGGCAACACTATGGGGCTGCGCAAGGGAATACCAGGAATATCCTCAAAGCAGTGAGTTAGAGAGAGAGCGCGCGCGCAACTCACACACATTATAATTGCCTCTCGCTCCAGCTCCAGCTCCGAGACCCCGACCCAATCCTCCGCTCCGCTGCGCCCGCCCCGCGGCCCCGCGGCCCACACGCACACAGGACCACCCGCCAAATAAGACCCCCACAAATAATTTCCGTTTTTAATCAGCCCCCCCCCCTTTCCTTCATTCTACGCGCCGATCCGACTCGACTGATAATTATCACTGCGTTTTCCCGTCCGCCCAGCAGTGGCGAGTCGCGCGTCCCTGCGTGCGTTGTTATTACTTTTAGGCCTATCAAGGCCCGGAGGTCATCGGAGCAGAAGGAGCCTCGAGAAAATCAGTTCAACCCGCGGTTCCACCCGGATACAGCGTCTCTGTGCGGATCTGTGGTGGCGTCCCTGCGTGCAGGTCTCCTCGACAATTGCCGTTTGTTAACAACTTACTGAAAGGAAATGTGCTTGAACTTCGGTGTAATTATTCTTGAACTTTCGACAATACCTTCGGAAGACTTCGACAAAACTCTAGCAAACTTCAAGTAAACCTCGATCAATTTCGGCCGCGATGAAGTTCGGCTTGGATATATGCTTCTTAAACAAAACAAAACCTTTTCCCTCTCGACTTGTTGGTGTTTTCCCTAAAAGTTACACAAATTACGAATGAACTCAACAAAATTGTGAGCTGCAAAAGCAAACACAGAAACGGCAAGAAAAGGTATTCATGTTTCACTACACCGCGGGCACTAAACAAGAGTGCATGACGCTGCACACGATTTGTGCATTTGTGACCAGTAGCGTGACAGCCCCGCACCTTCCCCCCCCCCCCTCTCACACCACACCCTACTATTACTCTTTGACGCGTCTGTCGTTACTCTGACACTGATACTGAGCGTAACTCGAAGCGCCCTGCTAGCGTGGCTGCTGCAGAGACAGGAGGGGCGGCACCTGCAGTTATTGCAATCCGATCAGCGGCGGCCGACATCCAAGAGCTTTGCGCGCATGTTCTTAGTAACAGTTCATGTAGATAAACAAAGTCAAACTATTTCATTTTTTTTGAAAAAGAGAACCCGTGTTGCTGGCTCCAGTTGACCCGGAGGGGAAAGGAGGACCCCGTGCGGCGTCTCCTCCGAGGGTTCCGGTTCCTGAGGGTTGTTCCGTTACGTACAAATGTCCGCGTGTATGAAAACGCCCAATGGCGTGGTGGGGCGGGGCGCAGCGCCACTGCGGCCACCGGGACACTGGGAGGACGACGACGACGAAACGGAACGGAACGCTTGCTTCGATTGGCCATCCCGTCCGCGTCCGCGCGTGAGGGTAAAGGATTCCACGAAATGACCTCACCTCGGCGCCTCCCTCCCTACACCACCCCGCCCCGCCCCGCTTCAAAGCAGCGGCACGGCAGCAGGCAGGAGCTAATTGTACGGCCCCCGGGAGCGCCTAGGCCGGGCTGCGGTGGTCAGGCTGCTGCTAACGGTCCCCGGCCGCTCAAACTCTTCGTGTCGCGTAACGCGTGACGCGCGGTGTGACGCTCCTGGTGATGCGTAACGGGCATGCAGTATCGGCGGCGGCGGCGGGGAGAGGAGGCCTGCTTGACCCGGAGCCGTTAGGCAAACAGAGTCAGACAGACGGCCCAGTGTCTCTGCTCCCCGCTGATCCCTCCGCCAGCTAAACGGCCGCACTGTTCCTCTCCCGCGCGCGAGGTGAGAAACGGCTTGTCGGCACCGCAGTGCGTGCGTGCGCGTGCGTGCGACCGTGCGAGTGTGTGTTATTATACACCCTCCCCCCTTCACCCCGTCCTATTTCTCTCTGTCTCTTCTGTGTCTTTTTCTCTCTGACTGACGGACGCCTAACGGCCTAGTGATAGGCCACCCGCGCAGCCCGAGTGCACTACGTCGAAAGATATTGCCTAACCTACGGGCGTCAGTTGATGGCGGTGTTGCAACTTTTCCTACATCATTTTTTTTTACCCGAAACTGTAAATCAAAATCACATCTCCTACCCCGCACCACCACTGTCACAGAAATTCTCTCTAAAAATTCTCTAGAAACCTAACCCTTTTCCTGTCTTATTTCTCTGCTTCTTCCACACAAGTGCGACCAAGTTCAAAAGCGCGTACCGTGCACATAAAAGAAGCAGGTGGACACATGCACAGTTACAACCTTACCAAGCAAAATGACAAATCCTTCGTGAAGGAAATGCTTCGTAGTTACGAAACAAACTCTTCGCACCTAAGGATTTTGGCAGTTTGCTTCGTAAGCAGGTTTTAACAGTGCGGCTGATCTTCGATGATGTTGAAGGAGAGGAAGTGGAAGTAGTGATATTTAATTATTCTTACAGAAAACGTGCGCGCCAGCACAATGTATTCCTAAATGAATACAGATGTGTTGCTGATCCCGTGCGCAGCTCCCCGCCTGATTGATGGTCCTATGGCGGTCCCACGAGGCCCGGGAGGGACGGTATACGATCACGGGGCACATCTCTGTCCCAGCGCCTCGCCACGCCACGCCTCGCCACGCCTCGAGCGAACGGGATGTGTGACGTTGTGTCTGCACAAGAAGTAAATGTTCAGGCAGCCAACGACCAAGGGGGGCTTGGGCCCAGCGCGTGTACCGTACCGAGCCTTGGTCGCGCACACCGTAGGAGCAAAAGCTTTCGTCGCACCACCATAGGCCAGGCCAAAGGCTTGTCGCGGCATTAGAATTTATCAACTGCCAAAGCGACCATAGTGGCGTAGCAGAGGCAGCCGCAGCCTCTGAGCGTGGTGCCGGAGATTACACACACACACACACCAACACACACACACACACACACACACACACACACAGCTAGCCTCGCACCGGGCCCCGCATTCACTCACGCGCGATAACCAGCCCTGTCGTCAGGGCGTGCGAGGGACTGACTCGGCGAGGGAGAGGCGAGAATTAATGAATCCCGGCTCTTCCGTTTGAAATATTATTTCGCCTATGCTTTGAAAATGTTTCGGTTCCGTAGATGTCCTCCATGTTGCGTGCTTGTGCTGGCTAATTTTCACGTTTTAAACATTACCTGTTTTAAATCGAGAAAAAAAAGGTTACCTAATTGCGCGGATACTCACCGGGGAAGGACCGCAGACCCTCTGGGTAGATGTCCAACATGTCGGGCTGCTTTACGATCTCCACGATCATGGCGTCCTCGAGGCATTTGACTTTGTGTTGTACTGAAACAAAAAAACAAACAAACCGGTAAGCCAAATGTTACACATATGCATGACACTGAAGAAACACAGAAGGTACACCCCCTAACGCACCCACAGAGACCCGTGGCAATTGGTCGGAATAATTATCGCGTTTGGGAAGAGTAATTATACTAGTATCATATTCAGCGGCAAAGCACAAAATCCCACCAAATCAGAACCGGATTTCAGGCGCGTCAAAACACGTGGACCCGCGCAGATTGGAGAGAAATTATGATTATATGAGTTGTTCCAACCGAAAGCGAGGCTTTTGTGACGGAGACGGACGGGCAATATGCATTATTACATTACGAGGGGGCATTGTTTGCCCATCTCTGCAGGTGGGGCACGAGAATGAGCGCAGAGAGGCGGCGCGTCTCGAGCCGCGCACGCCCTCAATTCGCAAATTATAACGCACTTTTGGCCGCAGATTAGCATCATGTCAACGATAATTGTGATCCCGGCTCGTGAGATTTGAAGGGAAAATGTGGGAGGGGAATGAGAGAAAACGAGGATAGGGTGGAGTGGTGGAGAAGTGGGAGAGGGAGAGGGGGCTTTGCTTCATTCTCAGCTCGACAGGAGAGACGTCTCCATTGATTGTTGGCTTGCCGACTCACTCTCGCTCGAGCCTCGCGCCGTTGCGAGAGAGAACGCTGAGCTGCGATCAAACCAGGGAGTTTGCTGGCAATAGCGTGAAACTCCATCTCCGGATAGAAGGTAAGACAGTCAAAATTTGTTTCAAAAACTTTCACAAGCAGGTCAATAACAGATAACACACAGTGGAACAATTTTATGTGAAAAGTGACTTTGACGGCTACAGTAATTAAGATGCACATTGTGCCTGCCTACGTCATCTGTGACCCCTCGCCATTGGAGACGCGTCTCCGTTTTGCTCCAGACCCACCCGACCTACCCGACCCACCCGTCGGGCCGACAGAGTACTGCGTAGATATCGAGGACGCGCAACGCGCAGCTCCAGAACGTCGCCTTGTTGTGTGTGCAAAGCTCTACAGGTGGTCGCCTGGACGTGCCCTCCGCCACACCCCGCCCCGCCACGCCCCGCCACGCCCCGCCACGCCCCGCCACAAAACAGACACCGAGTAGACGCGTACACACACAAGTGTTTTCAGAGAGCCTCACGTACCGCTCTCGTACATCCCGAGGCACAGAGAAACAGCGCAGGCCGAGGCGCAGGCCCTATGCGTGTTTGTGTTCGTGCGTATGTGTGTATTGAAGGATAAGAAGGAAGCGAGGGAAGGAGGGGAGTGAAGGGGAGAGAGAATACTAATTGCAGGCATAGGAATGACGGGTGCGACTAATCGATCGAGTAACAAGATCGCATATCGATATTTAATTCAGCGCGGTCCTATGCACATGTGTGTGTGCGTCTGTGTGCGTGCGATGGCGCGCTATGCATGTACTGCCGAGCTGCGGCAGTGCTGATTGCCCGATAATCTACGAAGCGACGCGCCTCGGAGTGGTGCTGTGCGTACATGTGTGTGTGAGTGTGTGTGAGCGTGTGTGTGCGTGCGAGTGCAGCAAGTGCAAAAGCAATGGGGCCACGAGTAGCTACAGTATTCGAATAATATTATTAAATGCGCGTATGTGTGTGCAAAGAGGGAGACACCCCAGTTTATAACAATTAGCGACGCTCACTCAGCCCCAGTCGTGGCGCTGCATAATGCATGCGGCAGAGGTGCAGCCCGCGAGCCCTGCACCGTGCCCTGCACTCTGCGACCGTGCGCTGCAGCAGCGCTGCAAGCTGCAACCGGGCACCGGCGGGTACCGGTCGGTGACTATTGGGAAGGAAAATAACAGATAGTTGAAGATGTAAACGATGCAGTTCTGCAGGTAAAAAACATTAATATTAAAAAAATCGAAAAATTCAGAAAAAAATATCTT